TTCACCAGCTGCTCTCATCTTGGATATCTCACTGTCTACCACAGATTTTTTTTTTATTTTTCTTTCTTTTGGTTTCATGATTTCCCTCCTAAGTGACATACTGTTTTTGTTTGGTTTCAGCCCTTCTTTTTCTCGGAAGATCTGTTGCTTTGACTTAACAAAGAATGTCACTATTCTTTGCAGAACAATGATTGAAGCCTCAAGGTCCCAATTAGGTCCTACCAAGTTTATCCATTTTGTTCTTAAATCCTTGTCTAGTGACAAGGCCTCTAAGCATTCCCGGAGCACATCGCCTCTCTCAGAGACCATGTTTTCATGCAGGTGATCTTCTACTCGAATATGGAGGTAAGTGAAAAAAGAACTAGCCTTGTCATGTACTTTAAATCTGTGTGTTCCATCATGTTGGGCAACATCGTCCCCTAATTCTTTTATGATTGTCAAGGCAGTGGTTTTATTAGCATTAATGAGTGGTGAGTCTGGATCATTACTTTGCGTTAGCTGCAAGTTTTCAGCCCCCTTCTTTATGACGTCTCTTGCTCTTTTTATCGCCCACCCGGCATGATCGAGAATGGTTTCTGTTTCAGTTTCATCTGGGTTTGTCACATAGGTATGGGATGTTGTAGACATGTTGTTGTTAATTCTATTCAACTTGAAACCAGAAGCCCAGAAATGTTGTAGCATCAATTGCAGGATACTGTTTCGGACAGATGTGTCATAGGCTGCATGTGCCGAACATACTTGGTGCCAGACTTTACTTACATTCACATAATGTATACCAGAACATCTCATTTCAGTAAATTTTTTTTCCAATTTTATTTCTCTTTTTTGTTGATCTTTTTCAGTTTTGCCCGCTGAAGTAATTTCTTTAAAAAAGGCTGACAAGCAATTAATAAAATTATGTAATAATTTAGTTTGACCTCCACTGTTCTTTGTTGAAGCTAAAAGATGTCTCACCAGTTTCCCTTCATCTTTTTCTGCCTTGTATAGTTTTTCCATTTTAGTAAAAAATGAAGGAATGCCCTGAACTGACACAGATATTAAAATATTTTTATCAATTTTGGATATGTAGGTACTACATGAAGCAGTACTTTCATCATTTTCTTCATTCTCGTCATTCAGAAATCTTAACATTTCCTCTTCATCCATTGCAGAAGCCGTAATATGAGATCTTTTTAACTAGCCGAAGTGATTTTGATTTAAAATAGGAAGAAAGTTGCAATTACCCATAGCAACCAGGATAGCAACCAGATATAGCATTTGTATATATACATATAAAAAAAACAAATAAAAACTTAGAGAGTGACTGAGTTATTGTTAACTATAATTATAATAACACTGAGTATAAGATAGATTTGTATATTGTATTTAATACTTATGGTTTTCCATGATTGTGTTTTTATAGACAATATTAAAGATGTACTGATGAACAGGGCAAGATATGCAAGATTAAACTGTGTTGGAAAAATGTATAATTATTTGATGTAAAAGTCTAGGAGTCAGGTCTTAAATAAGAAGTCTGCTAAGCTCTCTACTAAGTGTAGGCTATACTGGTTAAGACGTCCAACGTTTATGCAATATGATCGACTACAAAGTCTACAAACTGTACATTTATAAACTATTAAACATATAACATTAAAAGTGAAATTTCGTTCGTTTTATTTGTTGTTTAGTTCGTTTTATTCATTGTTGTTTAGTTCATGTTTGATAATGATAGTGAAAAAGGCCATACAGACAACTTATTCAGTTGAAACAAAGAAATGAAGTTAATTTCACAATTTTTAATAGAGAGGTTTAGCAAAGACAACGCGACGTCAAAGACGACGTGAAAATGGCGTGGAAATGGCGTGATATGCCCATCTAAAGCCCGTTCTCCACTACGCGAATTTGTTCGCGCGACGCGAAGCGAAAACCGAAATCCGGCAACGTGATTGGTCGGCGAAAAAATTCGCGGCGAAAAAGTAGGATCGCTTCCTACTTTTTATCTGTTCGCGCGAATAAATTCGCCTAGTGGAGAACGGGCTTAAGGATGTGCCCACGCCATTTTTACGCCATTTTTACGTCGTCTTTTACGTCGCGTCGTCTTTGCTAAACCTCGCAAATATTTGTTTTATTACAGCGTTGTTGCTATGCAGGTTGCTAAGACATAGAGCGATGTTAACTTAAGATTGACTACCGCTGACCGCGTAGTGCAGGAAATTGCTTACCAGGCCCCGCATCACACGTCGATCAGCGAAATCACTGGCGTTGCGCCGCCCTATGTATAAGCGCCCTGGTCGAAACAGTTACGTCGATCCAATTTGCATAGTCAACCCTTTTTCAACGTCTATCCAACGTCTGGAAGGTCATTTCCAACGTTGATTCAACGTTGGATAAACGTCATTTTGCCCGCTGGGTTGTTGGCTGGGTGAAAGCTTTTATATTCTGTTTTAGAATCATTTAGGTCTCACCCTATATTACCCTCTGCAGGGTATGTAATGACAGATACTTGCAAGCATGACCCAATATCTTTCTAAACTTTGCACCTTAATACGCATCATATCGCACCCAAAAATGCCAAGTAATGGATTCATCTCATCTAAACGTTTAATCGAATGAGGTGTGCCCAAGGCTCTATATTAGGGCTACTATTCTTTTTACTATATATCAATGATTTATCTCACTGTCTAAATACAAATTTAACAGCTACAGGAGAATCAATTAGTGATGTTGAATTTGTAATGAATTCTGATCTAGAAAACCTTCAAAGATGGTTAATCCCCAATATATGCTACGAAAACTGAATTTATATTAATTGGGTCAAAACCAATGTTAGTGAATTATCCAAATGCACACCAAAATGATTTCGTCGAAAGCAAACCTAGCCTACTAAACAGGTAAATGAATGCGAAACCCTTGGACTTGTAGTTGACCAGCATCTTACATGGAAAAGTAACACAGAAAATATTTGAAAAAAGTAACTTCAGGAATATATGCTCTCCAACGTTTAATTAAAACTATTTGTTGATAAGGAATAAGGATACACTTCTTTCTGTGTACAATTCTATTGTGCGCCCATGTTTTAACTATTGCTGTGTTTAGGACGCTCTAGACCAAGGCAAATGTTCGTCCTCACACGGAAGACGTAATACTTTGTGTGCAAAAACATTTGACAAAATAGGACAGCCAGATTCACGCCTTAATCATTTAATACCACCATCTTGGGCCAATGAACACAGTTGCAATTTAAGGCAGGAAATAGACTGACGCTGTTTCCTTGTAAGACGATGCGTTTTAAGAAAAGCTTTTTTCCTGCAATGCATCTTTCGATCGCATAGTTTTTAATTTTGTAAATACATGTATTTTATCTGCATTAATTTATAGATTCGTAAAACGATAGTTGTAACATAAATATCAAGACTTTGTTGCATCTCACTCGATTGAATATTAGTTGAAAGGTGATGTAGATGGAAATTATCGAGTGGAAATTTATATACATTTATTAGACCTAATAACCAGGAACAGTTGCGAAAAATGCACTTTTAGGTCCCTGGAAGGAATCGAACCCGTGGCCCTGCGATTCTGGTGCAGGTGCATTGATTGAATAAAGAAGTCGAGCTTTAGTGTAACTTGTGATAGCGAGCTTTAGTATAATTTCAGTATTGAAAAATGGCCTTTGGGCATTCTGATTGGCTCCCTCAGCAGTAACTATGAGGCAAGAGTTACTGCTCAGACTGCTCTGAGCAGTACAGAAGCGCCGGAATATCGATAATAGCGGGGGCAGATATTCATATATTCGTGTTCACAGACTGTAAAAACAATCGATTTCAAAAGAAATTAATTGGGCAGAACACGAATATAT